TTATAAAACCTATTGTAGCTTAATCATTAGAGCCCGCCAGTGTTATTGATATTTTTTTTTGTTATTTAAGTAAAAATATTTTTTTTACTAATTTCATTTTTTTATATTAAACGTTATTGTTTTTATATGATCATTACAATGCATGAGATTTGCATACAAAATAATGGTTTAAAACTTTAATTGTTATCAGCGTAAAACTAGTTGAAAATAAGAATTTCAACTTATAACATAACTAAAACGATTTGATTTAAAAAAATGTTTGTTTGATTCATAAAACACATACTTGTAATGTAATATATTGTGTACATTTTGCTGGACAAAAATGTAGTGTGCTAAACAGCTTTTATATATAGATAAAGTTTTATATAAAATAAATTTCGCAAATTTTTCCTCCAATACAAGTTTTTCGCTTTTAACGCTTATATTTCAATTTATATTTAGATGTATTTTTGATAATCGTTATCAAACGTGGTTTATTCATAGATACTACAAATAATAGATATATACTTCAATCATAGATATATATATATAGTACTCACAGTTCATAATCATAGAATACTGAATAAACCAGAAGGAGTAAGTTTTTCTTAAAAAATGTATCTGAACCGTTAAAATATTTCACTCGACACGGAATCAAACCCCGGACTTCGTGGCCTGCAGATGGACGCGCAATTTTTACGTACAAATATACAAATAGTTACATTAAGATACGTGCGGTTATAAAAGTTACAATTAAATAACCAAGCGTAGACCATTGCACCAATGTACCACTCCACTTTGGAGTAGTCGTGGCGGCCTCACTTTTATCGGTCCGACGGTTTCTAGAGTGTAGTCTGTTACTACGCCAAGATTGTGCCACATCACGGCGGCGTCTTTATATCCCGATTTCTCTTTCAATTTCCACGAATTATTTGCTGAAACAATAGCGCGTTTCACGTATATGACATTAACGGAGTTATTTCATTTTACTAAACCGTGAAGTAGCAAATTGGACTCTATCGCTTCGAGATAGAGCTTAGTTCTCGATCACTGACGTTCAACGTAGTGTTGTGATGTTTGTAAACATTGACGAAATGCTGGCGGCGTCTTTGAGATTAAATTGTGCTTTAATTGTCAACGTACGCTTAGATTTGTGGTTATGACCGTCTAATGAGGTTTCGTTAATTTAGGATTTGACTGTTCGTATCGTGACTCGTGTCTTTACGATTGTCTATTTGACAAAGACTTCACAATCCACGTCCAAGGTGAGGCTTTATAAAACCAATTCTAACGTTGTCAACCACTTATGGTTGTACTTATGGAATTAGTCTTTGGTTCGTACTTAATATTGTAGATGCAAAAAAATGTATTCTGTAATGATCCTAATGTATAATTCCTTGAGATTAACTTCAAATAAAATTAATGCTAGTAATAACTACTAAGATAGCAGTTTCCGAATGGAAAAGCTGACTTCTTCGCAGGTATTTATAAAAACATTTTGTTCTATTAAAACGTGTATTTTTTATAAAAAGTGAAAAAAATGAGAAATTCTTTAAAAATTAAAAAAAAGTATTGCGTGTAGTTAAGTTAACGCTAAATATATTAGTTAACTTATTTAAACTACGGCCCGACGCTTCGGATGCTTTGCAGCAGCCAGGTCACGGAGATATTGAAGATGTGTATTCCTAATGTCCATGTCAACTGCTACACGTCAGCTGTTTTTAGCGCTTCTCGATTTTTAACGCAAAGTGGAACGCTGTGGGTGTCGGTTTAAGTCCCGCTCGTGTCGATATTTTTAAACAAAATAGATTTTTTAATCTTCTTGGTTCTAATTAAAGTTCATGAGCTTAGGAAAGCGATTGTTTGCAATGTGTTTCGAATCGCATGTTCTGTAACAGTCCGATCAATCAAAGGGTGTTCTGGTCAATATTTGCGTTGTGGCCGCGATGGAGCCCCTGTTTGTCGTATTATTCACATTTGTTTGGCCGTCGGTATTAGCCCTGTTCAAACGTCGCGTGACTTTGCGCTATGACTATTGAATTAAGTCTGCGCTTATATTCAAACGATTGTAATGGAGTAGACTGGACTAATTTGGATTATTTTGAAATTTCTTCAGTTATATTGGATACTAGCTGAACCGACAAACATTGTTTTGCTAAATTAATATTTAGATGAAACTATATCGCGTTTTAAACCGTTAAAGTGTTTTATTTAAATGATCCAACTAACACAAACAAACGAATACGCAAAATACTTTTCAATTCAAACCAGTAGTGAGATTAGCGCCATCAAACAAACAAACAAATTAACGCTTACCAAGTTACCACATAATCATATTTCGTCATAGTTATGTACCCCTGCTTTAGCGACTGGAAGGTCTCAGCGTCGTCAAATCCCGCTGATATTTCCAATGTCACACTGACAATCACTTGCGGATTCATGTGTGACATGCTGTTTTTCAGTGACATTATTTTGATACAATCAAACGTCAAACCACAGATAAAGTACATCATCGCTCTTTTTGATATCTCGAAGTACATTAAGCCGTCGGAGCGACAGATTTTTATTATTTCTCGGAAAGTTGGTCAAACACAATTCAAACATAGCCTTATCTTGTTCACTAATGTTTGCTTACGAGGGTACACATGTCCAAAACGGATTTACAGACGTGTACGTTAGACGGATAGGCGAAAAATATTTATTATTTTTATTTACACAATGTTTCGACGTGAAAAAGAATATCCTTTTGAAATATATGTTATTCCATTTTTTTTTAATTTTACGTTTGTCTATAACGTGAGTAGCACACATTGAAACACACACACTTTTATCTTGGGTTGCCTGGAAGAGACCGCTCGTTAGCGATAAGGCCGCCCATTGCACTCCATATTCTTAGTATATAAGTCTCTTTAATATTTTTGTGCAATAAGGTGAAAATAAATAAATAAAGTAATTCTAACTATTTAAAACACGTAATATATCAATTAACTTATGTACAATTTATAAACTAAGGCTATATTATGACTCTAAATAAAACAGTTTTGACGGATTGAATCGCGAATAAATCCGAAACGTCGCGCCTCAGTTAAATTAATTTTTAATAAGGTTCTTGGAAAAGATATTAGATAGCTCTATTTAATAACCGTAACATTCAAGTGACAGGTTTTGTGTAATTATTAAGGTGTAATTTAAGAATCAAATGTAAATTTAATGACAAATTAAGTTCATTGTGTTATATGTCATTAAAATAACGTGTTTAAATGTCCTGATTATAGGCATATATTGCATAGGCGAGTAGTTCACGTTAAAACAGCTATAAACTCGTAATATATTAACTTATTTTTAATTCATAAAGTCGCAAAAAGATAACTTATATAAAAACTGTCTGTAGTTTACACGAGTAGTATACATTTAAATAAAATATGTAACGGTTTAAAACGAGCTACATATTAGTTAAATTTATTTTAACTACGGCCCCACGTATGCTTTGTAGCAGCGTGGTCACTAGTAGAACTAAATAGCAGAACTATAGAGAACTTATATACATATAAACGTTAAAATGGTTTATTTAAATAACATCTATATTTTTAATAGTAGAATCTATTTGGCAAAGTAAAAGGATTTACAGTGCCATATTTCACTCGCCACCAAATGATTACACAAAATAGTTCTGCCGACCGTACCGTTATCGGTGATATCGAAATTTGTGTTCGATACATGAATTACAAGTCTCATAACACGTAACGTTTGAATTGTCGATGGGTTGATAAAGCTTTGTCGATGCCGCCGTCAAATCAGAGTCATAAAACAAACGTAATTTCGCTAAAAGATAACACTTTCGGCCGATAAGATATTGTCAGGTAAATCTGAAGCCGTGGGATTTGCTTGACGTTATTGGAATTTGTGACGCGCGCGCATTGTTTATTGGATATTCGACGATTCTCGATCGCTGTCCGGTTTTTGGAAACTTCATCGTATACTAGCTGTGTCAGCGACTTCGTCCGCGATCCAAATTCGTTTTTGCAAACCCTTTCATCTTTATAAACTTAAGCTGTTACCAACTATGCCGGTCGCGTCCCTTTCCATATTTTTTGGTTATCAATACCAGAATGAATTTGATATCAGAACGATGAACCCATAATGATAAATAATTTTCTTATTATTTTGTCATATTTCTCACTGTATCTTCTTGTATTAGTCATAGCGCAATGTCTTATAGCCTTTCTCGATAATCGCTCTAACCAACTAAAAATATTTTTTTAAATTCCAACCCGTAGTTCTTGAGATTAGCGCGTTGAAACATATAAACAAACTTTTCAGCTTTATATATAAGTATAGATTAGGCATTATAGTTAGAATCGTATAGGTTTAGTAGTTCCCAGGACTGTCTGGAAATCACCATAGCGGGCTGGTGGTGTGTTTTGAGGTTCTGGTCAGCTATTGTCTCCGAGGAGGTTGTTCCATTTACCACACTCCCTACGTCACTATCGCACGACGTGGACGTGCATTAGGCATTCTCACCATCAGTAAAAAAAACTACTTTCAGTATTAGGCTCTTTAATGACGTAAACAGCAGTATTTGTATTGTAGGCTGCAATTACGTAAGCATAACCTCAATACAGTCTGTAGTTTACCCGAGTAGTACACATTTGAATAAAACACCTTAAAGGTTCAAAACGCGTTATATATTAGTTAAATCTGTTTGAAAATTATTTTTACTACGGCCCGACGTTTTGTTTTTTTTGTTTCGGCCGTGGTCACGGTGATTTTATTTCGTAAAATTTTAATTAATGAAAATCGATTATTCGTAATGTTTTATAAAAAGTAGGTACTACGTAGATATTATGCAGGTCTCGCATAGGGAATGTTTGTAAGAGTTCAGACCCTTCTCCAGCGCCGATGGCGAGTTTCAACGAAGAAATTTATAGTGATAACCGGGATCGACGGCTTAACGAACTCTAAAACTCGATATGGATACATTACAGAAACCTTATCGCCACTAAATAAATCTACAACTGTACCTCTGCTAGAATACGTCTCCAGGCTTTGTGGTGGTGGTGGTGTTAATCTGGTGTCAGGGCGTGTGCTGGTGGCTCCCCATAGTGACTGACAGAGTCCGTTTCTTAGCGCCTCACTGGCTGACACACCTGGAAACAAATTGCGTAATATTGAACAAGCTTATAGAAACACATGTTTTTATGCTAAAAGAAGATAGAACGTAGGGTTTACTTGAACGTGAAATCTAGCCATATAAGACTTTAACAAGATGCACTATCGACCTTTTTTATCTCTGTATTTTCGAACAGTATAGTGCCTATATTTCTCAGGATAACATCCTACGATTAGGCTCTGATGGGAATTTTTTTATTGCATAATCGAAATTGGAACCGTACGTCGATTTTAAACGATGTAGTGTAACACAGCTAAAAAGATAACAGTAATCTACGGATATGACGAAGCGATTTTTATTTAGGGGTTTCATTTCCATAACATAAATTATACATATCTACTTATATAATACACAACTAGGAACTAATTATATGTGTATATTTAATCTAGGTATATTATAAACTTTTGTAAAGTAAACATTGTCTGAAGTTAACGCAAGTAGATTAAGTGAACATTTAAATAAAACACTTTTAACGACTTGAACCCCGAAATGTAATAGTTTAATTATTTTAAACTACGGCCCGACTTTTCGCATGTGGGCTCCTGCGAAGCTCGAACTGCGTTTTAAAGTGTTTATTTCAAGCCGTAAAATAATCTGTAGTAAAAAAATATGGAAAGTAAAAAATGCAACGTAAATGGTAAACTTAATAAAACGAAAATAGTACTTTTTAAAGCTGAAAGACAAATGCACATTTTCGTATAGAATTTCCGTAACGTGTACGCAGTCCGTCGTGGGTTCGAGTCCTATTCGAGTCTTTTGCTATCGTCCATTAATTTTGTAATTACTTCTTGTTGATAACAGAAGGCATTTACATTAAATCATAGTACAGAATCTCGTATCAGAGTGTGTAAATCTAATTGCTTTATCAACGAAGTGTCGCGAGTTGATTTGCTCCTGCGCATTAGGGTCTGACATTCGCTTTCTTTCAACATAAAGTCACTCATAATGACAAATCACTTGCGCTTATTGACCGGCGTCTAAAGAGGTCACTTGCTCAATCTTTTCGCCTTCACACACGCAGATGCCATGTATCCATCTGGGGTATCGAGCAGATACATTTCTGTGTCCGTTTTACTAATATCTATATATATATGTTATGTTAATAAAAGACTTTAACGCTTTAAAACGCGATCGAGGTAGACTCCAATTGCCAGCAGAAAGAATATTCTAAGTCCCCCATTGATTGTTTTTTTTTAGTTGCTATATTCTTAAATCCACAGGCTGAAACCGAAATACGATTAAACTTGACACCTTTTTTATCTGTTGAAGGTCGCTCGTCATCCGGACGGAATTTTGATATTCCTTCCAACCAATGAATATTCATATATCCAGAGGAAGTCCAACATGTTTTATGAAAATATTTGAAATGGGAATCAAACCCAGGACCCGTTGTTTTTTAGCTATGCATTACTACTATTACATCAACAAATCCGTCAAAGTTCGAATCTATCACATCTGATTCGCACCTCGTTTATGATCCACAGGGGCGATTTACTATAACGATTAAATGACTGTTTCACAAAGTGATTTCTACATACACACCTAAAGAATCTTCTAGCTATGGTAAAAGAAGTGTTTTGATATGTAGACGTCAAATATTTTCAACTAGACCGTTTAAAATTACCAAGTATTTTACAGCACTTGCTTATTTAACAATTGGGATATAAAAACATAGAAAGGATGTTATATATTTTCCATTGACCGTCGAGGTTTTTCCAGTGATTAATCAACATTTCTTAACTTTTACGGAATTCTTGACATAATCGTATCTAATAAACAAGTTATTACACGCAATTGTACACGATAAATGTAATTATAATCGTTATCTGTTCGTCCGTAGCAGTGATTACCTAAATTTCCGATAAAGTGTCGATAATGCTGTTTATGGATTGAAAATTGGTGTTTCAACGGTGTGGGCTTTGAAAAATATTTATAATCCCTGTTTAAAATATGTTTTAATTTAATTGAGGTGGCAAAATAATAGAGTTACATAGGAAGTTGAAAGTTCGCTTATTTTGAACTCGTTGGTCTAATGGTAGCAATGTAAGGCTAACAATCAATGATTTGTGGATTCGATTTCCATCTGGACTTCATTTGGATCTGGATGCTAATTGAGTGATAGGAATATCAAGATTCTGTCCCGATCACGCACCACCGTCCAAATATAAAATAGATGTGAAGTGTTATCGCGTTTCGATTTCAGTCTGTGGATTTCCGATTATCCAAAGCCAATAGAGTTCGAAATGTTGTTGAGATGGTAAATGCCTAGTATATTTCACCTTTCATTAAGTGAACTCGATGCTTGCCTGTTCTTCTGTTTCATAAAAAAATGTAACGGTAAAAGATTACAAAAGTAATTTTAATAAGATTAAACTTTATCACGATAAATATCGAACGTGCGGGTTTTCAGAAACGGATTCCATGAAAGACGTAGTCATTTTACCTAAGAAGCGAGGACAATTTATCGATGTTGTAATTTGAAATGACGTTCCTCGCGAGAATCTTATGTCCGTATAATAAATAATAATAGGAAGAATTACTTTTGTAGTAGTACAGAATATCACCCTAGTTGTATCTTTACTGAATAAATAGATAATATGTTGTATTCAGAACAGGAAGAAAGAATATATGATACCGGCGGTACTCGAACCAACGATCGATGCATTAAATATATTTTTAATATGTCAGTTTATCTAAACTTTTATGGTGAGACATAGATAATAAAATATTTATTTCCAAATCAATCTTCACCATGTAACAAATTGGCTCGCGCCCGACGGATATTTCGTAACAGGATAAGAGACGAAGCAAGGACAATCAGTGCCACATCCTAAGGAAGACGACGATTCGGTGGCGCCTGCGCGTCGGCGCGTGGCCCCACTCGGCTTTCTTTGATTCATCTAGATTTCATTGTAACGTCATATTGAATGCTACTTATAGAGTTTATTTAATAGAGGGCGACAGTGCAACAGACAAAGCACTGGGTTCACTCGGTGGGAGATGAACATATCCCAGCCATATAACATGGCAAAGAGATGTGCGGTTGACCTATTTATGAGTTTATTTTATTTTTTTGCAAAAATGAATTAATTTATGAACACCAAAATAAAAGTAAAAAATATTTAATTAAGAAATAATCTGGGCGACTCAAACTCACAACATGAAAGGTAACTCTACGTATAAAAAAATACAGCATAAATATAATATGCTTTACAATATTCAACAAAATGCTAAATTATCAATCGCGACCTTTACTCTAAATAGACGATGAGTCATATATCATAGATGAGCGTGATTCATAAAAAAATAGAAACGAAAGCGGCGCCAGCGCAGTTCAGGAATCAATGACCGTCGTCCGGCGCGGGCGCAGTAATTTGTCGACGACGCCAATTGTAATATTGCTTCCTGTGTTAAATTTGGGCTTAAGTGTAGAGCGATAAGCGAAATAGTGAAAAAAATATTGCCGTATACTTGGCGAAAGGGCCTACCAGAACCATTTATTTATTCAATGACAGACAGACAACACAGTCTTGATAAATATTTGATAGACGTGTAAAGTGTATCATATTCTTATCCAGCCTTGAAGTAGAGAAATTAAAAAATAGGTATTAAATTGATTTGAATTACAATTATGACAAATTCTTGAACGTCGAGATAATATCTGAGTGCGGTCTGAACCGTAATACTATGCCTGCCCTATTTTCATTACGTGGGGCATGGGACATATTACTATGTCAATCTAGTTCCATCTAGATTGACACATTAATATATTTAAAAAATACAGTTAATCTTGAAATACGTTAGCCAATGTTGAAAATAATTCACACAGATTTATTCTATCTTGATAATAATCTCAAGATTACATCAATCAATGCCATCGAGAATAATAACCAAATGGATTTGTATTTTTGCTTTCGTCAACCAAGAGTAAATATATACGTTATGCAGGTATATACTTTGATACAAATGACGTATCTATAATAAATAAACTGTTTTTTTCTTCTTTCTATAAGGATAGAAGCCGTTGAAAGCTACTTAACTTTTTTTTTATTTCATTTTTCGAGAGAGAACTACAGTAGAGAGATTTCAATCGACATAATAAAACTTTTAATATAACACTTGTCAGATTTGTGTAGGTATTTGATAGATTTGCTTGTCTATAATTTTCAAGTTATCACAGAATCAAAATGTAATTAACAATAACATATTTCTTTTACAGGAAACAAATATCGAAATCGTTCGTTATCGTTACATGATACGGCTCATAATTAATAGAGGGGATTACATGTGTATTAATGTTATCGACATTCATGAAAATTTACATAATTAACGCGATATATATTTATAAAACTTATTTGAAGCGCGAGGAGCCATCGTTACGGGAAGACTGTTCCCGTGACCACGGGATACGGCAAAGCATCCGAAACGTCGACCGTAGTTAAAATAATTTGTAAATAAGTCTAATTAATATATATTGCGTTTTAAACCGTTATTGTGTTATATTTAAATGTGTACTACTTGCGTAAAATGAAGACAGTATTTAACCGATAAAAAAATTACAAAATGATTTTTTTTTGTATCTCACTTAATCTCTAATCGCTTATAGATGTACCATACGACCTCTGTGTTTCAGGGTCACCATTATGAGTATGAAATTATGAATTAACGACATTTTATAATTTTTAAATATTAATACTAAAACACATGTTTTACACATTTTATTATGTAAATTATGTTAATGATTAAGTCAAACTTTAAAAACATACTTAGCATTGTATAAACTTATTATAGCTGTAGTGTTACCCCTATTATTATCATTTATTATTGTAAATCTCCATCTTCAAGGTTGCCTAGAAGAAATCGCATTCTAGCGATAAGGCCACCTTTCCTCGCTACATTTTGGATTTTTAAATTAAGTTTTATTTTGTTACATTGTGGTGACAATAAAGTATGTTTTGTTTGTTTGTTTGCTAACGA